CCCCAAAACCCCAAAACCCCAAAACCCCAAAACCCCAATCTTGATGAAACACATTGACAGTTGTTTCTTTTTTTAATAAGTATTATATGTACTAATATCATTAAGATAAACAAAAGGATAGACACAAAGCCAGCTAATCAGGCTGTCAAGATGAAGCAAATCATGCTCATAGCAATGTCTAAGAATGATTTAGATTTCACTCCTTAAAAATCACTCCGATATCTTCTGTTGGTAATTAATGTTCCTCAAAGCTTTAAACAACACTAAACAAGCATCAATTACTCAAATTCAAAGTCAACCTCCATACTTTGAAGATAAAACTCCAAAACAGTCCCCACAAATGTAATATTTCCACCCAATCCCTTTCTCAAAATCTGTTCTGCTCTCAGTCCTAATTCTCTCTCTGTCACGGCTAAAGTCGCTTTCATCGTTCTAAATTCAAGATCTGCTTCTTTGTATGGTCCTTCCTCGTGACTTAGAGGTGTGGGTGTACTTGTGGAGGGAGTAGAGGTGATTTAGTTTTCATGTTAGAAAGGACATTTTTGAGGTAGAATATGACTATTGATGTGTAGGGTATGTTTTGGGTTTGGAAATCGACTCTCTGGTTTTTTATTATGAGATTTGGAGATATCTGGTTTATTAAACTTCTAAATAGGATAAATCAGTTTAAACTTTCACTCTGAAAGCATTCTCTACAATCATATCAATAAATCCCTCAATACTCAAACAACTTCGCACATACATAGATCAGGACTGATATCTCTATCTAAAATTCTTTTTACTTCATCCCAAAATCAATCAGTCTTGGCTCAATCACACACTACTTTGAGAGCCCAAGTTTTTATCAGAGAGTCTTTATTTCAAAGCCTATTTAGCCATTCGCTCTCGAGAATAACTCTGAATAGATGCATAACGGGTTAAATTAAGCTTTGGTTAGATAATTCATATGTAAGTTCGCTTTGCCAAGTTTTATGTGCTTGTTAAATATAATTTGTAGAGCTTGAAGCTTGCCATTGGAGAAGAGGACAAGTATTAGTTTTAGAGCCATTAAATATACAAAAGCAAAGTGAGATCAAGAGACATTCAATTCTATGCAGTATAAAGGTTAGAGGTAGCTCTGAGAACTAAAATTTATTTAAAAAGTTTTGAAGTCTGCCAGAAATTCACATTGAGAGTTCAGAGAAAGCAGCTACATGAAGGTAGCAAAGAACCAAATATTGGAGTCTAAAAGCCCAAATTCAAAAAAGTATCGAGTCGAATAAATAAAATAAAACTAGTCTGTTATAAAATTCAAGATAATTTTTAACCGCATGGACATGAGAATCAATATTGTGATCAACAAGATTAATGAGCTTGAAAGGGAATTGTATAAGGCACTCAGAAAGCTTGGAGTTTATACTACCATCGCTCATAACCGAAACTATTCCAAGTCATAGTTTCAGTCTAAATTTGAGTTGAATTCTTGACACTCTAGCTAGAAATTATCCTTTCGTAATAGAGGTAGGTTCCAAATCGAGGATCTAGGATTAAGGTTCATTCCTTGCTTACAGATATTTAAAGTCCCCAGTCGATAGAAGATATTAATTGTGATATTTGGAGATACCAAAAGGAGCTTAGGCAGAAGTAAAGAGTGGACAAATAGATTTGTAAGAGTCCCAAATACTCCAAGTACGAATTCATATTCCAAATTCACAACATCCAACAGCATAAACTGTAAACCTAAGGCCAGGTAGGTTGCAAAATGATAATAATGCATTTAGTCCTAAGATCAGCCTTAACACAAGTTGAGATCCCAAAATCCTAAAGTATATCCCAATCACACAACGGATTAAGATTAAGATTATGAAACAAAATTAGTTAAGATATTCGTACTCAATATTAAGATAAAATTATGGGGTTTTGGGGTTTTGGGGTTTTGGGG